TTAAGCAAATGACTAGCACTGGGACCTGATCAAAGCATAAATGTCAATGTAATGATTATTCTTTCCTCTTCTGTATAGTGAATGGTTTAGACTAGCTCAGTTCCATGATCCCATTTAAATCTGACATCCATTCATTTCAAAGAGCAAGTTCATGAACCTTGTCAGTGGTACATTCAGAATGAGTATGAAAGCTCCCAATTCCTAGTCCATTTTGATGCTCTAAACATAATCAAGACACTTAGTCTTACGGCTCAGAACATCCTTAGCAGTGAGTGATGGCCCACTTGTTTGCCCTGAGAGACTGACAGATGAAAATCATATACAGAAATTTTAGAAAGAATAAGCAATTATTTCCATCAATTCAAAAGGTCACAAGAGTTTAACTTATATTTGAATAGCATTTGGATGGCTGCCTCAGAAAAATTCAGTAATTACGCTTGTAAGATTTTGAATACAGAAAGCAGAGAGAGCAGAGAGGGTGTAAATAAAATATAAATACAGGTAACATTCCCTAAATGAGTCTGATTTTTAGTTTATGATTTGTCATTCTTGAGCTTCTTTGCATGTAGGTAAAAATTTAAATTTTCTTGCAACTTAATTTGCTGTCTACTCTTACATTTTTAATGAAGTATTCAACTAATAGAGGAAGTATGTACACATTTTCTTTACCATTATCATCATATAAAATTACATATTTTAAGTAGAGAATAATTTATTTATTTTTCTTATTATGTGCCTTTATTCACTTGCACATCCATTGTTTCACTTTTAGCTTTAAATATTATAATTAGCTAAACTGACTCGGTAAAAGATCATTAAAAATACACTTCAAGAAATAAAAATGCTTATTTTTAAAAACATGAAAATATAATCATTATGTACAGATTCTCCAAAATTATTTAATTCTACATAAGGCTCCCCTGGTCACTCAGATGGTAAAGAATTTGCCCACAATGTGGGAGACCTGGGTTCAATCCCTGGGTTGGGAAGACCCCTGGAGAAGGGAATGACAACCCACTCAAGTATTTTTGCCTGGAGAATTCCATGGACAGAGAAGCCTGGAGAGCTATAGTCCATGGGGTCGCAAAGAGTTGGACACAACTGAGCAACTAATACACATACACACATAAGTGAAAGTAATATTTATACTTTAAGACATTTTTAGTTTATTTTATTAAATGGAAATTAATATTTTACTGTTTCCAATATTGACTGCATTCATTTTCAAAATTACATTTTTATAATTTTAAAATTTATTTTTGTGTCATTCTTAAAAGTATAAAAGCCTAAGTTATTTTTAAAACTTAATTTTTGACCATAAACCTCTTATAAGTCCATTATTTTTCTTCACATTTATATAGTCTCAAATTTCACAGATATTTTTCCACAACAGAGTAAAACTGTTTTTTTAAACTGGAGGCTTCATAAATTCAACAGATTTCTCTCCCTCCAGAAAACTGCATAGAGGAGTTTAAATTACTAACAAAGCAGTATGAGGATTATCTTACACTTGCAACCGAGAGTTCCCATAATTCTTCCTCTTCTTCAGTTTAAATGTCTTACTTACTTCAAATTATTATCAAGTAAACATGCTGGCATCTTTCTACTAAACATCCACTATATACAAGATTGACATTTTAAATATGTACAAGAATAAAATAAGAGGCACAGTTCTTTTTGAAATTAACAATATCAGGTGTAGCTCATAAAGCTAGTTTTAAGGTCATGCTAACAACTGCAAAAGCCCACATTAACTCACAGAATTGCAGACAACCGCAATGGAAACACTCAATATTTTCCAAAGGAATGAGGAAAAATTACCACTTTTGAATAATACTATTAGTTAAACAGAGGACGTGCCAAAGACATGAAAATAACTCGGTCTAATCTAGAAGATGGTTAAATCATAAACATATATCTCATATTAATCTACTGTTATTAGGAACTGTGCTATTAAGCTCTGAAGAGATATGCTTCCATTATTTATTCCGTAAAGGAGCAAAACAAAGTGAAAGTGAAAAAGTGATAGTAAATTGACGCGTTGAAACAAGTTGTGATGGAAACACAGTGTGAGTTACCCACCAAGAGCACACACGAAAGGAGGCTCAGTCAGTTGGATTCGGTCAACATGCGAGTTTATTCACAAAGAGCTGATCAACAGTAAAAGTACACCTACTTCCATACTAAATGGTTGGCTTGAATTCCATTATCAAATAGTGAACCTAACTCAGCCCTGGTTATTACAGTCTTTTCTAGTTTTAGCTTTATGTGGCAAAACAGATTATCACTGTTGCATACCCACAGCACATTCTTGAAGGGCAGGATTTTTCAAGAGTTAAAACAAGGATTGAAAAAAAATGTATTGACCCTCCCTTTGCAAATAATTGGCTTGCTTACTTACATTCCAGAGGATCTAATGTACTTAATTTAAAATTGCAGAGACCATGTGGAAAAGAAATTAAAACTTTTATCAGTAAAGTTTATTGATTAATTAAAACAGAAAAGTAAAGCTAAACAGAGTGCATGAGTGATGTTTCATGGATATTGTAATACAAATCCTAAAAATGAATTATTAGATGTAGAAGAACATCAGGTGTGTATGTTTGAGGGAAAAGCTTTTTATTATTTTAGGAGACTTGATATGGGAAAAAGTTTGAATTAAAAATTCACTTGACTGGTCATAAGAAATGTCAACTTTACATTTGTTAATAAAAGAAAAGGAGTTAGTAGATTTAAAGAATGATTTACCACACATAAAAAGATCAAATTATCAAAATGTAGGTGAATGGTGAGGAAGAAGCCAATGGGTGCAAAACAATGAATTCTCTTCTCTCATTAGCTGTCACCTGCTTATGAAGTTTCTCCTTGTTGATTACATAGAAAATTAAGAGTATGTTATAAGGACTTCACTAGAAATTGTGAATAGCAATTTCAGACATAAAATCTGGTTTAAAAAAATATATATTCATAAAAACACACTCAAATTCCTCATTAAAAAACTTAAAAAAATTTTATTTGGAAGTTTTATACAAGTTTAATATTTATTATCTTTCCTTACCCTTAGTAGTTTTATTACATTAAATGATATAAAGAAAACATGATTATTTTCACCAAGGTCCATGTAAGACGCACCCAGGATCCCTCGGACTTACCCCAGAGTGCCATATCATTCATGTTCATGTTCTATGTGTGCTGCAGACATGAACTTTGAGGATTCCCATCTACAGACAGTGTCTAATATAGAATTCTCCAGTATATGTAGAGTATGTATGAGTGAGGTTCAATCAATACCTTCATCCAAAAGTGAACTTCAAAAGACCCAGAAACACTTAGATAATTACATGAAGTTTACCTTAATAAAATTATTCTTAAAGAGCTCTGCCGTACTTAAAAAAAAAAAGCTAAAGCAAAAAATTAAAGACCTAAAATAAACAAAGTAATAAAAATGACAAACTTCAACCTGATGCCCTACTTGTAAATACATTATTAAGTTGAGGAAATGTTAGATATTAAAAGTCTCATAATTACTTTGTAGACTAATCTGAGTTATTTCTTTTTTATGATGGTTCTATTTTGGAGTTGCTCAATTTTTACTCATGTTCTTCCACTCCTCTCCAGCCGTTTTTCCCTAAGTATGTCTGGCAAGATCAGTTAAAGAGGACATTTTTCTCTCATATTGGATTCTGCAACAGGAATCTCACTCTTCTCTTAGGAAGAACACTAGAGGGGCCCTAACCACTGCAACATGATGACATTTGACCTCAAATGGACACTGAAAATGCACAGGTAAGACATCAAACAGGGCACCAAGACAACAGTAGAAGCTAGTTCTCCCTAGAGGGTCTGACCACTTTTATTACCTGGTTATATAGAACTTGCATTTCAGGAAGCATGAATGTGACATAGTCACAATAATAATAGGCAGCAGCAAATATTTCCTTTGGGAGATGAGGAGAGAAAAAGGAGAAAGGCACGTACTATTCAGGCTACAATAATATTCAATGTTCCAAGCAAGCCTAATAAACAGTAAGTCTTCAAATATATTAGATATACATGAAAACATATTGGAAACAAAAACCTCTCAAGCAACTAAGGGTACTTGTAACATAAAAGATAATTAAAATAGCAGTATTAATAACTGTTATTGCCACTGTTATTAATCTTTATTACACTATTTATGATAAGGGGAGTTATAGACACTTTATTTTCAGATGTCTCAAAATCTTAATAAATACACAGAGCTTGTAGAAAACACAACCTTATTGGAATGTCCCTCATATTCAATTAAAAGGTAAAATTAAAACCTCACCTAGATAGCAGCTTCTAAGATATCAAAAACATTTAAGTCCAGTCATTATCTTCTAATTAATAATAAAATAAAATTTAAAACAACAACAACACTTAAGTCCTATACTATCTTTGGTTGTTTTCCTTAATTCTAGCCCTGAAAGATTAATGACTTCAGGACATCAAAATCAGATACTCTGTATCTGGACTGAAATGACAGCATTGTGTATTAAAAATGTCTAACATCATGTATGAACTCTGAATTATTAACATGTGAATCACTACACAATTTAAAAAGCTAAACATTTAGAAAAAGTATTACTAGTACAAGATATACTTTACGTCAAAATCATGGATTATAATACAGTTTTCATCCTGTCAGAAGAGGATCAAAGGCAACAGAACATGCTGCAACAAATTTATTTAAATTCGCTCAAAAATATGACATGGAGTTAAAACACTGCAAACATTCAGTCTATCGAACTATGAAGCAGCTTTTTAACATCCAAGCAGTCATATACAGTATAATACAGACATGAATAATGATAAATATGTTATGTCAAACAACTTTAATTTTTCCTAGTGAACAAAAAATCCCTTTTAAGTTATTTTTGGCATGGTGCCAGAGGCTCTGTCATCTAACTGAATTCAAGGCACTGCTTATTTACAGGTTCATAACACGTAGCACTTGTAGTTTTCAAGTAGATGTATGGTTAAAAGGTAGGCTTGTTCATGTATTCTTCCATTGTCTGAAAGAGAACAACAGATTAAAATGATTTCCCCTTAAACCACATGCTTCAGGAGACTTTGAAAATATCTTCATTCTTTTACTCGTGAATTATGCCACTGGTGAAAAGAAGCTTTTTTTTGTTTGTTTGTTTGTTTGGGGGTTTTTTGGTCTGTTTGGGTTTTTTTTTTTTTTTTTGGCCATGCCTCACAGTTTGTAGGATCTTACCTCCATCACCAGGAACTGAACCCAAGTCCACAGCAGTGAAAGTGCAGAGTCCTACCACTGGATGGCCAGGTAATTTCCAAAAAGAAGTTTGGGGAAGTGTACGTGGTCATAAATATTTGCATTCTAATCAAGAAAGGTGGTTCAAAGTTTGAGTGTAATTTATATACACATCCCTATGGCTGGAATTAAATAACTTTCAACAGAGGAAAAGCTAAGTTTGACTGTAAAATCAATCCCTGATGAGAGAAATGCTTAAGCAACAGCTGCCAAGCTATCACTGTTGACTTCAGAAAAATGTACCTGCTAAAATGACCATGAGGACCATTTCCAGGAACAGGTATTAGAGAAATCTGAATGGTATTTGTATGACATATGTATTGTTTTTGTTGTTTAGTCACTAAGTCATATTGGAGTCTTTGCAAACCCATGGACTGCAGCCAGCCAGACTCCTCTGTCCATGAGATTTCCCAGGCAAGAATACTGGAGTAGGTTGCCATTTCTTTCTCCTGGGGAACTTTCTGACCAAGGGATTGAACCCACGGCTCCTGTTGCATCTCCTGCATTGCAGGAAGATTCTTTACTGCTGAGCCACTGGGGGAGCCATAGGTATCATTACAGATACAGAATATTTTATTGCCAAGACATAAAGGATAAACAGACCATAATACTTGAAATTTCTTCCATGTATTTTGAAAAGGCTTTCCTCCAAAGTATACAAATTATGTTTCTTCATCCTCCTCATCACTTACCAAGTTTGCTAATATGCCACAATATCATAATTCTTTCCCAGTACTTAAAAAAAAAATATTTAAATGGATTCACAGTTACAGGCAGAGTTAAAAATTACACTGATGTTGCAAACCTTTATTATGCATGATGGGTGGGCTTCCTCTTCCACTCTGTCCCTGTTATAAACATATACTTATGCAATACTGTGACCTCTGGGTTGAATCAGTCAGGGAACTCAAGGGGTCAGCCTTAAGTAATACCCCTATTGCTTCTGCATAAATCATGTACAATCAGTAATGTTCAACATGTTCTTAAGCTTGAACTCCAGGGGACATGATTCACATGCACCTGCCAGTGAAGACACCCACCAGAGGGGCCAAACAGACTAGACCATGGCTAAGCAAGATTGCTCAGAGGATATTAGGGTTAGAAATCAGGTTTCCTGTTTCCACTAGCTCTATTTAGAATTCCAGTCCTCCTCTGCTGAAAATATTCATGCATCATCATCCATACTTTCTTACAAAGCTCTTATACCTCCTAGATGAACAAGCCCACACCTTAAGACCTCTGCCCTGTATCTCCTCTTATAGCTATTGCCCATATACTTTTTTTTGGGGGGGGGGGGTGTGCTACGCCTTGTGTGACATGGGGGATCTTAGATCCCTAACCAGGCTTAGATACTTAACCAGGGGTCGAACCCATACCCCATGCATTGGGAGCATGTAGTCTTAACCACTGGACCACAAGGGAAATCCAAGATATTGTCCATGTCTTTAAACCTGGGGTATCACATTGGCCAGGAGCCCATGACTGTCTCTTGGTACCTAGAGTTTATACCATTTAACTAGGTATATAGGCACTTCCCTGGTGGTCCAGTGGCTAAGAGTCTGTGCTCCCAATGTAAGGGGCCCAGATTCAACCCTGGTCAAGGAACTAAATCCCACATGCCGCAACTAAGACCCCAGCACAGCAAAATAAACAAATAAAAATAGATATTAGAAGAGATATAGATGTAAAGAACAGACTTTCGGACTCTGTGGGAGAAGGTGAGTGTGGGATGACTTGAGAGGTTAGCATTGAAACATGTATATTACCACATGTAAAGTAGATAACCAGTGCAAGTTCAATGCATGAAGCAGGGCACTCAAAGCCAGTGCCCTGCGACAACCCAGAGGGATGGGGTGGGGAGGGAGGTGGGAGGGGGGTTCAGGATGGGGGACACACGTGCACCCGTGGCTGATTTATGTTGATGTATGGCAAGAACCACCACAATATGCAAAGTAATTGTCCTCCAATTAAAATAAATTAATTAGTAAAATAAATATTAAAAATAAATAAAAATTTAAAAATAAAGATGTATATAAAATTACAAATACTGAATTGGGTATAAAGTTTAATAAGAATGAGAAAAAGTGAGAGTAGATTATAAATTTTCTAAAAGATTTTTAAAAATCACAAAATCCAGAACAATAGCATATGGGTTTCATTCATTAAATGCCTGTCACACCTCTATAATAGCTTACATATTCATTAAATGGCCACAAGGTCACTACAGCTGAGATACCTTACCTTTGCAAATTTGACCATAGGAGCTTGCAGCTGTGGAAGGGGCCTGGCCCAGGAAAGGCCCTGGAATTGTCACTTCCCTGGCCTCACAGTTCATTGGTCTTTAGTCACTGGCACTGATTCACACCACTGAGGGAATCAGTCTGCTCAAGACTGGCTGCCCTTCCAGAGCTCTAGCTCTGCTACTACTCAAGTTACATGAGCCAATGACATATGCGGTTGGTATTTTCTGGAGTTTGTCCCTTTAAAAGTTGGGACAGACTTTCAGGCCACACAAGCTTAAAGAGCTCTGCCCTGGGTATGATGGGACTCCAGATATTTATCCAGCATAGCAGTGCTTCTTGTGCATTCAGCACTGGGAATGCTACAACATTTTATTGCATTATGGTTTAGCTGCTTACTATGGTTTGTGCTTTTCTGGGAGACAGTGTTGGGGTACACCTAGCCAGTTCTCATGAATCCCCACATACACATATGTGGTATCTCATTGCTTGACTTAACGAGATACCATTTGACCCTCCCTTCTTAACTCACTTTCTTATTCTGTGCTCAGAACATCTGTTTGTCACCTGCACTGGTGATCCCCAGAGTCCCAACCTCTGCATTTAAGGATCTAGACAGTGTATTAAAAAGCAGAGGCATCACTTTGCTGACAAAGGTCCGTATAGTCAAAGCTATGGTTTTTCCAGTTGTCATGTACAGATGTGAGAGATGAACCATAAAGAAGACTAAGCACCAAAGAATCGATGCTTTTGAATTGTGGTGTTGGAGAAGACTTTTGAGAGTCCCTTGAATAGCAAGGAGAACAAACCAGTCAATCCGAAAGGAAATAAACCCTGAATATTCATTGAAGGACTGATACTGAAGTTGCAGTTCCAAAACTTTGGCCACCTGATACAAACAGCCAACTCACTGGAAAAGACCCTGGCAAAGACTGAAGGCAAAAGAATAAGTGGGTGGCAAGGATGAAATGGTCAGATAGCATCACTGCCTTAATGGACATGAATTTAAGCAAACTCTGGGAGAGAGTAGAAGACGGAGGCGCCTGGCATGCTACAGTTCATGGGGTTGCAAAGAGTCAGATACAACTTAGCGACTGAACAACAATATCATCTTTTTCCTTTCAGAGTTTCCTTTATCTTCTAATCATTTTGTATCAGTGTCCACAGGTACCTTCAAAATAAGGTACCTTTAGTCATCCCAACCAGTTAAACTCTTCCTTCATTCCACATTTTCAACGTCTAACCCCAGTACACTCAGAATAAGCTTTGAGAATTTAGAGCTTTAAGACTATGCATTTTCTCACTAAAAACATAGAGACAGTCTTTTTATTCTAAAAAACTTGTATTGGGTAGGGGTCAGCATAAAGTCCAGGGCCTAGTTTGAGATTTTCAGTTATACTAAAAGTAAAAGGAATATTACAAAGGCCTCCCTCAAACATCAGCAAGTACAAACACACGCTTAGGTCCAAAGGACAGGGAAAAAAGAAAGCAATATTTTTTTCTCTTTACCCAATTATATCAGCAGCTCTGACCAGATACACAAAGTACAACGTCAATTTTTCAACCAGCTCCTCAAACATTCATGGACTAAGCTGAAGTACCAGACCCCAAGAGAACACTGATGACTCTGTTTCTATCTGGCAGGGGTTGCTAATTCATTGAGAGTTTTAGAGCACAGTCGTGATAATGCCTGCTCACTATGGGGACAAGCCAGCTAAATGCGGGGCCCCCTGAGACCTACCTATCAAGACCTTCCACTCAATAACCAGGGATATGAATGACCAATCAATGTTTCATTGTGAAGGGCCTCTCTCTTGAAATAGCAGAACTTCCCTGCTTCCCAGATTTAACTGGAACAAGAAGCACCAGACAACCTGTAAGCCCTTTAAAACTCTATTTCCTGTGGAGGGGAAACTCAACATAACCTGGGGGTGTCTTGGCCCTAATTCAAGCAGCTTTAATTACTGAAGGTCCAAAGACCCTGTTAAATGCCTGTTTCTCCTATAAGGTGATTCCACAGTAAGGGCCCTGAGGACAGAATTATAAATAACTCCCTGGCATATTTTAAGAAAGGTTGTTCTGTGGAATTTCCAAACCAGTGATTTCTCAAGTACCTTGTAAAATTCCCTTTCTGTGGCATTTGGGGAAAGCCAAATGAGCATCAGAAAGTTTAAATGCATATTTTGAGGCGATAACACATCTAGAGATAAATGCAGCAGCTTCCTAATAGGCAAGCACAGAGGCTCAGGGGTACCCTGTATCTTTCTTAGTATCCATTCACCTGAGGACTGGTTCCTGGATGGGCAGGAGCAAGTCATCAGCTCAAAGATGTGCCAAAACCATTACTTGGAAGTCATTCCTAATGTTGTTTTACTAACTCAAGCATGCTCGTATTTCCAAACAGCTGCAAGAATGACTTTACCGCCAATTTTAAAAGATACATGTCAATGTATGGCAAAAATCACTACAATATTGTAAAGTAATTAGCCTCCAACTAATAAAAATAAATGGAAAAATAATAATAAAAAATAAAAAAGTTTAAATTATTAAAAAAATTAAAAAAAAAAAAAGATACTTCGTAATGCTCTGAGATGTTGTGACCTGCTGTCATGAAACAGAAAGACAGAAGGACTCAACGATGCTGTGAGGAGAAGAACCTAGAAGTGGCAGAGCAGGCATGGAACCCAGGCCCTCAAAGGCATGCTGGGTCAGGCGTTAGGTTAGGCAGATCATCTCATTGGGGAGGGCAAAGGTCAGTGGGGCGAAGCACTCTTTCTCATAGTGCCTGTGGGCTAATGTAGGTAAGTTCCCTTATTAGGGATGATGTAAATCCAGACTGGATCTACAAGAAAAGCCCCTCAGTATTTTATATAAGTATCATAGAGTCAGGAGCATGACCAAATGGACGTTTCAGGGCCCATTTATTCATTGAGAGCAAGCTACAGAATTCCCAATATATTTATGCAAATAGGAACACACACACAGCCTCTCCAGGAAGGTAGGAAATTTTAATTAAAATGATAAATGCCACTTTCAGTAATAAAGCTTTAATAACCTTGGCAAATAGAATAATGATGTTATTCTTCTTTCCCAAGGCAACGCGGGTATTTTAATGCAAGTCTTTTTATACCTCCCATAAAAGTATTCTTGAGAAGAATAGCACCAATTATTTAATATCTTTTTGAGAGGGAGGGATCCTCACTGATAAGGTCAAACATGAAGAGCAAAGACTCTGGAGCCCAAGTGCCTGGGTTCAAATCTCTGTTCTACGATCACTCGCTCTGTGACACTGAGCAGTCATTAAAACTCTCTGTGTCTCCGTTTATTCATCTTTAAAATGAGGCTAGAGAATTTCCTGGTGGTCCAATGGTTAGAACTCTGTGCTCTCACTGCTGAGGGCATAAATTTTGATGCCTGGTCAGGGAACTAAGATCCCACAAGCTGTGGCAGAGCCAAAAAAAAAAAACAGTGGGTAACAATATACCTCTTAGAGTTGCAGTGATAATTAAATAACTTAATACATGTAACTTACTTAGAAACTATACCCAGCACAAAGTAAACAGTCAGTAAGTGTCAGCTAATACATCACCACCACCACCCCGCCAAGACCATCATCTTTTCCCAGGGCATGAGAAAATGTGTACTGACCTCCTGTAACATATCAGAATCCTCGATGGCTTTGACGGCAGATTTTTTGGATGTTTCCTGAATTTCTCCACCGATGATAAATTCATCCAGGATAAAATAAGCCTTTTCAAAATTAAAGATAATGTCTAGCTCACAGACCTGGTAAGACAAAAGCAAATGTGTTGATAAACGTGCAGCAGTATCAGGGGAAACACATGCCAGGGATTCAGACTTTGCAACGATGACACCCAAGTGGCACAGCAAAGATAAAAACATCAGATAGTATTTTTAAGGCCAGAAAAGCAGAACTAGGGGAATCCAAGCCCTGAAAAAAAAGCAAAACCACATTCTATTAAAGCAGAGCATGTCCATAGATAATACTGTTTAAAGTCACAACAGGAAATTTGAGGCTTAGTCGAGGTGGGGAGCTGCCCAGTTCATCCTTCCATCAGCACAGGTAAAAGCTGAGTCCTTGCTGATTTCAGGCACAAGGGCAGCTTCGTTGCTCCTGATCACTGGTCTGTAAATTTGGCTCCTAGCTTTAGAACTCTCAGAAGCTCATTCTTCAGAGGCAAATTAGCTCAATTGTGCTAATTTTCCTCAAAACTATGTCTCAAAAAAGTGGTTCTCAAACTTCAGAGTGTGACCCAATCACCCAGAAAGCTCACTGCACACACACTACTGGGCCCCACCTCTGGAGTTTCTGATTCAGTAGGTTAAAGCCTGAGAGGCTGAACTTCTAACGGGTTCCCAGGTGAGGCTAATGGTGCTGGTGTGGGGACCACACGTGGAGAACCACTGCCACTGTCGCAGACCAGTGCAGAGGCTGATAGATTTGGTTATAGGTAGCAAGTAGCAAGACCCATAATCCAAATAAGGCTCACTTCCAGTGCTTCCACCAGCCAGCCAGCGAGGCCCCATCCCTACCGTTTTCCTTCCCACATAGTCCTCAACTCTCCCTTTCCTTTCCCTCCAGAATGCCTGCTCACTGGAAGCTTTCAGCCTCTCTCACCTTCGCTGCTCAACAGCACTTGATACACTTCGCCAATCCCTTGCTTGAAAATCTCTTCTTGATGGCTGCCTGATGCTGGCAATACAACTCAATGCCTGTTTTCCTCCTCCATCTCTGATGATTCTTCCAAGGCTCCTTGGATGATTTATCTCTCCCTGAACCTTGCATTCATTTAAAAAGTATTTACAAAACGTTTGAGACACATCAACGGACAAAGCAAAAAAATCTCTGCAGCAGGATACTCACATCCTAGGGACCTGCTTTCCTCTTAAAGACTGATGCTTCTCAAGAGAGCCTCTTTGCAACACATACACTCTCCTGGACGATCTCATTGACTCTCTGCAGCTGAGTCTTGCATCAGGTGACTTAGCAAACTGAGATGCCTGGGCCTGATCTCTCTCAGCAGTGCTCATCCAGTACCTTCACCCACTAACCAGACATCTCTACCTCCATGTTCCTCCATCCAAGTCTTTGAATCCCAAACTGAAGTCAAGCATATTCCCTTCCCTTTAGTCCCTACTTTGCTCAATAGCTGCAACCTCTATCTAGTAGCTCAATCTCATTTATTCTACATGTATTCCATTCCCCCTCTCTCTCCCACTTCTCCCTCCCTTGATCTCATCCCTCTCAATTTGATCACCAGCTCCTACAGATTCCATCTTGTACAGAAGCCCATAACCCTTCCTCTCTTGCCCATTCTCACTGCTGCTGCTCAGACCTGCAACATCTCTTACTTAGGTTGCAGTGACCTTCCTGGTGGTGTCTGTGCCCACAAGAGGCCAACGACCACTAATGTTTTGCTGAAGTGCTCATCAGGCTCCTTTGCTGGGTGAGTTCTTCTGTCCAGGACAGTCTGAATTCCTCAGCACGGCACATAGGAATCTCTCCAGCCCGGCCTGCGGCTTGCTCACCGGCTTCTTGTGCTGGCACCCACCCCATGCCACAGCTATGCATTCTACAAACTCACCCCGTTCTTTCCTGCCTTTGCTCCCTGCACATTCCAGAAATTCCTGGAACGTTCTCCAAAAGACCTTTCCTTTATTCTGCTGACAAAATCAAGTTCATTTTTCAAGGACAAATTCAAAAGTTATAAGCAAAATGATTCCCTCAAATCCTCATTTCTCCCTTTGAGATTTTGCATCACTTCCTGTATGTTCTCTCTTACATCTGGTGTGACTCAGTATACACTTACGTATCAATCACTTCCCCTTGTCCTGTGAGCTCAGGCACAGACCTTGCCTTAGTCATCCTTGTGTCTCTGGAACCTGGCACATAGTAGGATACAATAAATGTCTGCAGCATGAATGAATGAATCAGCCACCATACAGGCCTTGCTTTTATGCTGCTGGGGACTAATGGCTTCCCAGATCTACAGTCCTCTGGTTTTTATGACTTTACATAAAACAGGTGTCAGTATTTTAATAAATTACTTCATATATTTATGCTTTAGGTCAATAAACTTGCAGACTCTCCAACTGAACCTAGAAGCATAAGAACAAATAAGTACAAAATCACTATAATATATGGCCAGCTCAGAAAAACTAACCTAACTAATCTGCAAACATTATGGTCTCTTCATTCATTAGAAAATAGCATCAAATCAACAAGAATGGGACTTCCCTGGTGGTCCAGTGGTTAAGACTCCACACTCCCAGTGCAGGGGGCCAGGTTCCATCTTTGGTCAGGGACAATCGCACATGCCACATGGTGTGGCCCAAGAAAAGAAAAAGGAAAAAGAAATCAACAAGTGTGTGTGTGTAACACACGCATCTAAGTTCCCTCTCCCTACAGGGTCTGACTCTTTGTCTCTTTCCCTCTCTCCGTCTGTCTTTCCACATATATACACAAACATACATATATGCATATACATAAAGTTTAAAATGAGAATCTGTTCACTGGGACATGATACTATAATCTAGGACTTCCCCAGACCATTAGGGTTTCCTCTTGAGAACAACCATCAGAAAAAGGATGGCATTATAAAAGTACATGTTCTCAGCTTATAAACCCATTCTTTTATTTCTAGAACACTTTCACTCCAGGAATGTGAATGACAGTGGAACCAAACTTCTCAGGCAAAAATGTGGAAAGATCAGAGTATAGGTTAAAAGTGGAGCACTGGATTGGGGATAATATTTGCAACATATATAATAGAAAGGGACATACCCTATACAAGATATAGAAAGTGAAGTTAAAGTTGCTCAATCGTGTCTGACTCTTTGCAACCTGATGGACTATACAGTCCACGGAATTCTCCAGGCCAGAATACTGGAGTGGGTAGCCTTTCCCTTCTCCAGGAGATCTTCCCAAACCCAGGTTTCCTGCATTGTAGGCAGATTCTTTACCAGCTGAGCCACAAGGAAAGCCCAATATATAGAGAGAATTCCTGCAGATCCCTAAGATAAACACCACAGCATAAAAAATCAAATAAAAGCTGTCAAGAAGCAATTAATAGACAAGGCAAGCAATGGAAAAGGCCAATACACATCCAATGACATACATGGCCTCACTAGTTATCCGAAAAATGCAAATTGAATTAATGACCATCTGACTATTACGAAGAGAGAATACTCATTGCTGTTAAGTGTATGGATAAATAGGTACTCATTGCTGGTGGAATTTGTAAACTTTACAGGCCATTTTGAAATCTCAAATTGTAGTGTCCATCAATTTTAAATGTACAAATCCTTTGACCCAATAATTCTGAAAAGAATTTATTCCTATGCTATACCCAAACTAACACACAATAATATGTATTAACAACAAGGATGACGGTAGCATCATTTTTAATAACAACTGGAAACAACTCAAAGTCCAGCCATAATGGAATTGCTTAAATAAAGTATGGTCTGCCCCTGCTTGGTGTTGTATCGTATACCATGGAAATTCTATGTTTAAGTTGGAAAGAATAAAGTAGATTTCCATGGATAAGCAGGGAAATAGTTTCTAAGACAGGCTAATAAGAGGAACAACAGAAAGTTGCAGAATAATATGCATAATGCAATCCCATTTTTTTTTTACTTAAAAAACTGTATACATCTAGAAGGATACATTAAAAAAGGATACATAAAAAATTGCAATTTTAAACAATACAAATAAACAGGAAGAAAGCACCATAGATTAGACATTCATGCACATCAAAGAAGGTACAAGAAGCAAGCAGTTACCAGAGGTCAGAAGAGGCGGGAGGTCAGGAGTTACAGTATTAAGAGCTGGGGAACCCCAGAGTTCAAGGCAGGTGTAGACCAGGAGTCGAGGACAGACAGGAACCTCATTAGGAGAAACCAGCAACCAGAATCCTGTGAAGTGAACTTGACAGATACTAATCCAAGTGCTCTGGGAAGGTCTCATACCCCACTCTCCACTCTTCAAGCAGCAACTATCCCCAAGGCTATCGACCTCACCAGCAGCCACAGGGCAATTAATTTAGTGCACCAAGTTTCAAGGAATGGGACAAAGTAAGGTGACAGGCAAAGCCAGATACTCACAACACCCACACACACACACACACACTTTGATTATAGTTACTTGTTCCAGATCACAAGGGAACTTGTGATGTGCGGCACAAGTTCTGTTGGCCTTAGAAAGAATGTTACAAATGAGCAAGACTCATATACAGCAACTCCAAAATACTATTCGCTATTCTTTAAATCTAACCCCAAAGGGTTATTGTTCCTGAAAGTAAGACAAGAGCTTAAGATCTAATGCAGATTTTTTCAGCTCCTGTCTAATTACTCAAACATTACTTCTAATTCTACCTTCAGGGTGCTGCCCCACTATATCAGAAATACACCCTTGATGCTCAAATGAGTGCTCTCCATTTTATGCACAAGCTCATGGCTTCCCTGTTAATAAACACGTGAGCCCCTTTCCTCATCTTTTCTCATTTTTTTCATGTCTCTGTATTCTGGAAGAAAGCTTATAAAAGGAAGAAGCAGCGGTCACTTAATGTTATCTTTGATCCCCCAGCGTTGTGCTTGACTACGATTTTCCTGCAATTTGGCTTGAGGGACTTCTATTATAGCAGAACACATGATGTAGGGAGAGGATCTCCAGTGTTTCAATAATTAAATCCTTTTGGATAGAATCTAAGAAGACCTTCCCTTACTGAATTTTGTTCTAAAGAAAATATAAAAAGTTCAAGTTACATACAGCAGGTACATAAATGTATATATAAAACAATAATGCAAAGTATAGAGTACATAGCAACTGACAGTTTACAAAGTATTGTTAATTACACTACATCTCTGATCCTCACAATAGCCCCTAGGAGCTTTAGCAAAGTAAATATTTCTATTAAACTATGTGTGTGTCATTTTTCTTATCTGTGAATCAATGATGAGCCAAATCATGGGTCTGGTGAGAGAGCCGGCTGACACCAGGGTCCAGGAGGACACAGAGCATCCCTCTGCTGACAACAGAAAAACTCCCGAAATCAAGATCAAACCTCTCTGGGACGGCAACATCCACACCATCAGTAAAATCTCATGTGGCATCCCGTAATGGGAAATTGGCAGGTGTCTAAATCCTCAATCTGACCCTTATCTCCTGACCCTAAGAGGCATTGCCTCTTAGCCTCTATAAATTGGGCTTCATGCTACTTAAGGAAGACCAAAAGATTAACCAGTTAATCCCTATAAATCTCTTGGGAATGGAAAAGTGCTAAAAAAAAAAAAAATACATAAATAAGTAGCCTGAGATTTTGATTCATCTGTCACAGGAAGGTAATATTTTCTAGGGTTATGAGAAGCTCAATGCAGGTATTTTTCTGGGAGAGTGTAAGGGTAAAATTCAAGGAAACCTTAAATATTAACACAAGAGGAAAAGAAGACCAAAGAGAAATATATTATACCTGATATGATGTCATGAGACTCAGTATTGCTGGGTTTACTCATCACAGTTAATTAATAAAAACCAAACACCTACTGGGCACAGAGCCTTGAGCTGCTCTTAGCTTAATGAAAGATTCATTGAAGTTTTTTTAGTGCATTAAATTTTGGTCCATGACAAAGACAGGGCTTCTAAAGGTATGCCAAAATAGGATGAAAAATTAATGTTGGAGAAATTGGAATGCGTTCTGATTCTGCTTATCCTTTAACTGGGTTTAGAATAAGTGAAGGTGATTCAATTCCCTTGAGAAAGCAATGTGTTCTGAAATATCTGATATTTGGGCAGTAAGACTGAGATCAAAATTCAGTCCCAATTCACATTATCACTGTTGGATACATCTAAGAAAACACAACAGGTCACACCACAGTGCAGAAATGAGGGGGAGAAGGTAGGTTATGGGAAAGTCTGAGCCTCAGGAGAACTCTTTTGCAAAAGGCCAAGTCGGCAGTTTATTTCAAAAAAAGTACCACAATGTCAGAATTCATTTGAATAACTGAAGGCATAAAATTAAATAAACTCCAGTTTGAAAACATGCCATTACATATTTGGAAATATCTCTTTAAAAGATGAAAATAAACTTAGTGAACCAGGAGAGAGCAAAAGAAAAATGGTCTGTCTTATCACTTCTAAACACTGACCAACAAACTGAAATTTCTGAAGCAATATTTAGGTCTTATAACATCATTTACAAAGGAAAAAAAAAAAAGGAAAAATAAAAGACAGAAAGGAAGGGAGGGAGGGCAAATTAATCCGGAAACCTTCCAAGAACTCATCTTTGTGAAAACTGTTGCAACAAATCTTATAAAATCTTATCCAGTACCTCTAATGCTGTTCATTCCATTATATAGAATACACTACAGAAAACTCTTAAGGAAGCAAATTCTTCTAACAGTACTTAAAAATCTTCAGTGAACAAGGGAGTGGGGAAGAGAGTATTACTGAGAAGAACACATTCTACTAGTCTACTAATTCATTTCTTGAGACTGTGAACTAAATAAAAAGTTTCCGGAACATTTGCTATAACTTGACCCAGAGCTGGTTCCAAGTGTCGGAAAAAACAAACATGTAAGTCCCTGGTCATGATCTCCAGAGACTTGCAATTTGCTGGCAGGCAAATGGTGTACAAGTTGAGGATAATACAAGGTTGGTCCGTGTTGCTGGAGCACTGGATATGCCAGGGGTAAAAAGACAGAAAAGTGAGAAGGTTGGAGAAGTGGGGTCTGGGGCCGATGTGTAGAACAAGAAAATGCCGGGCTAAGAAAATTGAATTTTATCCATTAAAGCTGGAGGAGAGTGACTGAGGAGGCATGTCATCTGAGATCGGTGCCTTGGAAGGATGGTGATAATGAACAGGCCAGGAAAGGGAAGCAGAGACGAGCCCAGAAACAGAAAGGGGCAAAGCGGAGGTTTAAAAGAAAAGCAAAACTAATACCAGTGAGAGTGAAACAAGATGAGCTTCAGTCCAGTTTGAATAGACTTAATAGGGAGACTTAAGTAAAGGGTGGAGAAAGATGTAAGAAACAATGTCCTTTTGCACTGAAAGATCCTGGGACAGAATAATTCTAATCACAAGACTGAAGAGGTTTTCAGAAGATGATTTTAGTCCTTGTCACATTAAGGCTGAGATGACCACGAAGAAGCCCAGTGAAGACCGTCACCAGCAAAGTGAAGAAGAGTCATCTGGTGATGGGTTTCCAGGAGAGAAAGCCTAGTAAACACACCGGAGAGGAAAAACAGCAAGAGGGCACTTCAAAGGGAGGGAGGGAGCTGGAGAAGAAATCAAGTTGGGGTCCTGAGAAACACATGTTGAGTCAGCAGAACTCAGGGTCGGGGGAGACAGAGAGGAGCGGATTTAAAGACAGGGTTGTGATGAGCAAGGGTGCAGGGCTGCAGAGACGTGAAGGCGGGTGAAGAGTAAAGAATCATCACTGGTGTTGAGCATTAAGATTTCCTTGGAGGAGTAAAGGTGAAGTCAAGCCGTAAGTGCAACAAAGTACGAGTTCTAAAATCAGGGCAGCTCTGAGAGTACGTTACTAGGAGGTAAGTGCATAGAGGCTGGAGAGCAGCCTGAAGGGAAAGGATTTGGGTCTTCTTTCTTTATTTGTCTTACATACAAATAATATTAAAAAACACTTGGGTGTTTATTAAAAGAAACCAGCGTGTGATTCGTGTCCAACTCTTTGTGACCCCAGGAACTGTAGCACACCAGGCCCCAGGCTCCTCTGTCCATGGCATTCTCTAAGCATGAATACTGGAGTGGGTTGCCATTCCCTTCTCCAGAGGATCTTCCCAACTCAGGGATTGAATCCAGGTCTCCCACATTGCAAGCAGATTCTTCACCATCTGAGACACCAGGGAAGCCCCCCAAAACAAAAACCAGAGAGGGCATTAAAAAGTCATAATAGAAAAGAGAAGACAGTCCATGGAGACGAAGGGACAAAATATTAAGGAATCCTTCACAATTAAATTCCAGTTCATGGAAGCAAGGTGTCTAGTTGTGGCTCAGGCCTGGAGATACACATGCCACTTGCTTCTGATAAGCTTTGGATCTTCCATTTACTAAGAATTACAGGAAGTAGGGAAAGCCTTCTGTTCTGGTCCTCAGTACAAACATAGTTCATATCTTAGACTTGACAGAGAGAGAGAAGAAATATGGTGACAGACTTAGAACTGAAGTCAGAGTTGGGGTGAAGACCAACTCATTCTAAATACCAGGACACCACTTACATTTCCAAAGTATTTGTCCAGCAACTCCACATAACGATGCACAATCTCTAGGGTCAAGAGCTCATTGTCCTGATTTTCTACTGCACAGCAAAAATATAAACTAGCATACCTTGAAAAGGAAAAAAAAAATATAACGTAAAATAGGATGACACATAACACAACCTGACGATGTTTTTTTCTATGAATATGCAGTTACCTCCTCCTCTCCAGGCAGTCTCCCTGTTCACATTCAAGACAGAAACATCATTCACCACATTCAATATCCTCCCAAAATGTAAAACAGCATACAGAAAAAACATGGTGGTGACTGGATCATTTCCATTAATTATGTGAAAGATCCTCAACAAAACTGTACCTTGAGGCGCTGTGATCAGGGGACAAAGTCCTTTAATCGGTGTCTATTCATGCTTCTTTGGTTGGTGAATTGTCCTATCTAAAGTCCAAACCCCCGACCAAGGGGCCCAGGGGCCCACATTGCCCACCCTCTCACTTTACCTTGTACCACAGTATATCCCATCCTCAGCTTGTTAGGTCCTCCCTCCATGTATGTTTCTTCTGCCTAGAATACTCCTCCCCTCCCCATTCATGGGGCTCTCTCCTACTTCTCCTGCTGCTCTGAGCGTGGGCGTCCTTGCCCTCAGGAAATCTCTGTCCTCTCTGACTGCCCTGGATGCCGCTGCCACGCATTGCTGTGCCTGCCCTTCCCGCAAAGGGTGTCTAGCACCATCCACTCTGTAATTTCATGGCCTGTCTCTCCCCCACTAGATCAGTGGCTTCCCAAAGGCAGGTACTGAGTCTGCCTAGTTCACTGTTGTTTATCCAGTAGCTGTAAACAGTAGCTGTTGAGAGAACTGCTGAAGTCTATTTTTCATGTAATAGTTTAAATCACAACTGAACCCAAAGTTGTAGAAACCAGCAGGCAGAGAGAAGCAAATATTCCCTTTTGCCTTTCCATCCCTGAGATGCTTAATACTGTAAGGTGCCTTAGCTTACATCTCTCATGATGCTCATATGAAAAGCTTTGACACAGGGCCCAGCAGAAGAAGCTTTGCCCAGGCACTTCCTGGTAATTTACTCCATTAAATAGAGCCTTCAATGTTACCCTTGTCTTTCCCCTTCTAGTTTTGTAAACATCCCTTGTGAGAGCCTTTCTAATGTGCATTTTGCTTCTGAAAGTTGCAGTATGATGTTAGATGCAGGGTCACATCAGTTATGTCCTGGTCCTGGCTTAGGCATCAGTTATCTGGGTCTTTATGTTGAAACGACTTTACCTCTCGGGGTCTCGGTTTCCTCATCCAAAAAGTGAGGTCCCTTTCTAGTATGGTCATGCCATGGCAACCAGGTGCAGTAATGATAAGATATAAAGGCCTTAAAATCAGGGGAAAAAATCTGGATTTTTCTGCCAGTTACCACACAATTATTGCAACTGGGGATTAATTACTTAAATTTTCTGTAGCTTCAGTTTCCTCATCTGCAAATGTGAATAACAAAGAGCTTCTCATCTTTTTAGCACATTAACCTTTTTTTCTACAGCATGTTACTAACTGAAACTGTTTTGTTTACTTAATAGATGAATAAGTTCCAAGAGACCAGGAATGCTCTATGTCTTGTTCGATACTGCATCTACAGTCATTAGAACAGTGTTGGAAATATAATAGATGCTCATAAAATATTTCTTGAATGTATGCATATATTATCAACATGTAAATTATCTAAAATAAGTATCTAGAATCCATCCTGGTACATGGAAAACCATTCAGTAAATGAGAGTTCTCTTCTGTTTAGCCTATTGGTACAAACATTTGGGCTTCAGCCTTCAAAGTTTACAGTAAATGATGGAATTGGTACTGCACTAAAATGCTTAGGATTAAACAAACGAAACAGTAATGAGAAATTCAGTTCTCAAAAAGTTACTCACACCTTTTATAAACAAGTTTTAGCTCCTTCCAGTCAACGAAACTGCTTGTTCTCTGACCACGGGAGAGAATAATCTGAACAATTTCGCGCGTGATCTTTTTCCTTTCCTTGTCAGGGAGAGTAGTATACCATTTCTGCAGCCGTAATTTCCCTTGTCGACTGAAGAGCAATATGAAATGTATCTAGAACAAATAAAGGACAGGGGGAAAAAAAAGATGGAATTTGGTCAGATAAATCATTCTACCATAGATATTAAAATTCAGCAGCAGGGTTTTCAAAGGAATATAAGTTGGAACAGAGGAAAAATACTTACAGCACGAAAACTATCCCATCTGGAAATGACATTTAACCCAAAAAGAACAAAGAAATGTATACAGTGCAAACATAACTTATTTATACTACAGGAGAGAGATAATTCATTTTATGAGTCACAAACTCATTATAGGGATATATCATCTCTCCATTTCTCCCACCTCCCCAATCCCTGCAACTACTGTTCTACTCTCTGCTTCTATGAGTTTGATGTTTCCAGATTCCATATATAAGTAATACCAAGCAATATCTGTCTTTCTGTGCCTGACTTATTCCACTTAACGTGATGTCTTCTAGTTTCATCCATGTTGTTATAAATTACAGGATTTTCTTCTTTTGCAAGGTGGAATAATATTCCATTGTATGTATATGTATATATATATGCATATACACACACCATACTTTCTTTACCCATTCATCTGACAATGGACACAGTTTGATTTCTATATTTGGGCTACTGTCAATAATGCTGCAATGAACATGGGGGTACAGTTACTGCTTTGAGAAACTGATCTCCTTTCCAATGCAAACATACCTAGATGTAGCATTTCCCTTGGAACTATACCTAGAAGTACTATCATATGGTAGTGTTACTTTTAAATTTTTCAGGATGGCTGTACCAATGGACATTCCCACCAGCTGTGTGCAAGGGCTCCCTTTTCTTCACACCCTCACCAACACTTCTCATCTCTCGCCATTTTTATAACAGCCATTCTAACAGGTATAAGGTGACATATCATTGTTCTTTTAATTGAAATTTCCCTAATGATTAGTGATATTGAGCATCTTTTCAAATACCTGTTGGACATCTATATGTCTTCTTTGGAAGTATGTCTCTTCAGGTCCTTTGCCAGTTTTTTAATCAGGTGATTTGTTCCTTGCTATCGACTTGCTTGAATTCCTTACATATTTTGGGTGTTAACCTATTAACAGATGTATGATTTGTAAAGACTTTCTTCCATTCCATAAGTTGTCTTTTTACTCTGTTGTCTCATTTGCTGTGCAGAGGCTTTGCACAGAGTTTGATGCAATCCCATTTGTCTATTTTTGCTTCTGTTGCCTATGCTTTGAGAGTCATATCCAAAGTATCATTGGCCAAACCAATGTCGATGTCAAGAACTATTTTCTGTATGTTTTCTTCTAATAGTTTTACAGTTTAACAGTTTCAGGCCTTACATTTAAAACTTGAATCCATTCTAAGTTGGTTGTTATATGTGAAGTGAGATAAGGGTCCAATTTCGTTCTTCTGTATGTGGATATTAGTTTTCCTAACCATTTATTAAAGAAACTGTCCTTTATCCATTGGGTGTTCTTGGCACCTTTCTCAAAGATCAAACTAGGTCTCAGATGTAAGTTCTTTGAGGGTTACTTGGCTGAGACATTTAGAATCAAATTATCTTTGGCATCACAATAAATATTTAACAATTTAGATAGTGTTGACCACATTAGGGAGAAGCCTGATTTTATTTTCAATTAAGTTTCAAAATGTGTATTTGAAATGCTTGTTCCCATTTAAGTGAATTTTGAAAGCTTTAAATGAATAGAAGACACTGTGATATGTAGAAACTTACTGTGGAACCTGGGGGGTAGTAAAGATTTGTTTTTCAGTAATTGTCAGATGATCTGATCTTCATTTTATAAGAGATTCAGTTTTCTCGGTCTACAGTGTAAAAAGATCAATTCCAGAATCATAATTTATTTTGTAGTTTTTTACAAAATGAAATTCATTATTGAGGTTAATTGTGTCATGGAGGGAATAATATATACTAGGAACCAAAATAATTAAAATTCTCAAACTTTACAAATATTCAACTCTTTTTATTAAAGAGATTTGGCTCTGAATGTCACAGCATATGTCATATGTCATACAAACTCAGCAGGTGGAGATATCTGAAAACCAAAAGAAACCAGGCTCTTTCTTCAGGGCATCCCCTGAAGAATTTGAAGTCTTCTTAATAAGTTATATAATCTCTTAGGAAAAAAAAAAAAGACCTTATAACAAGGTCTTGAAAAACCAAGACATAGAAAATGAATAGAAAGCAAGTTATAAAGTCCAGCTCATCTAGCCATTTTAAGAAAAATCACCCTCAGTCTGGAATTTTAAGCACCTAGTTAGAATATAGCATTTTCTTAAACACCCATTTCACTATCAGTTCAGGTGTAGATAATTCAATAATGAAATAACCACCACTTTCTAAGAATCATATTGAGAGAAAGATATTTTTAGCTTCTAAGAAGAGATCATCATAAAAGTGACATTCCAAAAGTACAAAATTGAATGGGAATAGAATAATAAAACTTCAGGATCTTGAGAACAAGGTTCAGCTTTGGATTATCACCAGTAGATAAGACTATTCAATCCTATTTCAAGTGAGTGGTCAGATCTTTGCTAGAGAAATGACATTCACATATATTCTGGGTGTTGACTTTGCATCTTCTATCAGAACATTTTCTTCTTCCCATGTAACCTAAATCTCTTCTGTTACAATTTAAACTGATTTTCCCTGATTTTATCCACAGAGCATGTTAAAAGACAATATATCACTATCCTTGAAATAATAAGTAAGTCTCCACATATTTGAAGACAGGCTTTAAAGTGTATCTGGAGTCTTTTCCTTCCAGAAGAAATTACCTGGTTTCATGTCTTCTTATTGGTTCTATTACCAGATTTCAAAACTGTCATTGTTACAGTTCCTCCAGGACTGCTTCACAGATAAATGTCACTTAATTTAAAGAGCTCAGATCAATGCCCAAAGTTCCAGTGAGAGGCTGGAATTATTGCTGAGTTTAATTATGGATTATTTTCTAGTTCTCTTGCAACCTTCTCTCAATATCAAGTGCCTGCCTTCTTAAACGAATCAACAAGGTAGAAAATAAAGAACTCTTTTTCATTCTAACAATGAATTCAAAGAGAAATGATGATCAAGAACATAATACCCACATTCATAAGGTCATTTTAAATATAAAAATGTCTTTCAGATTCAAAAGAAGCAACAAATAGATTCAAGTTTTTCCAATCATTGCATTGATTAAGACAGTGGTGAAAGATTTCATTTTCCCAGGTTCTACTCTGAGGAAGAAGGAGCTTGTGTTGTGGTGTCTGGTGTCTGTTACATCTCAAACTGAACAATGGAGCATGAGAAAACTGTTGGAATGAATTGTAGTGACTCACAGGAGTTCATTGCCTCTAGCAATTAATGTTATCCAATTTATCTGCTTAGTCAGTCAAGGCATATTTGGATAATACGTTTCAAGAGATTAATCAAATACCATTTTTGATCAGCATTAGCTTAAAGAGTAGGAAAAAAAGGCAATTGGAAAGTTTTTTTTTTTCCCTAATATACACAGAGTCAACTTAAATTCAAGTTGATGTCATGAACAAACTTCATCTGACTTCAGAAAACAACACCTAGGCATTTTGTTTCAATAACACTGCTGAGAAGAAGGGAGTAATGCAGAGGTTGACTGGTAATCCTCTTCTGGGAAATGCCAACTCCAGAAATAACCCTAAAATCCAATGCAGTGCGATGAGCAAGGCTGACTTCTTCTATCTGGGCCAACTGCTCTGGCCTCGGGTGGGCATCTGGCTTCACCGAGATCTCCCTCCCTCATTCAAGGTTAACCTGAGATGATCTGAGAGGAAATAATCACACTGGCAGCTAAATTAACTGTATTTCAGAGACCTTAAAGTACAGATTATTTATTCACACAATCCATATTTACTAAGTAACTATTATGTTCACCATGAACCTACAACATAAAACTTCTTTATGTTCTTTACCTTGAACAGCTTTTAATCATGACAAAGAGTCAAAAAAAAAAAAAGTAAATGTATTTAATTAAACCACAGGCCTTTACATCTTCTGTTGGTGGTTGGTGGTTTAGTCACTAAGTTGTGTCCAACTCTTGCGACCCCAGGGACCGTATCCCACCAGGCTCCTCTGTCCATGGGGTTCTCCAGGCAAGAATACTGGAGTGGGTAGCCATTTCCTTCTCCAGGGGATCTTCCTGACCCAGGGATCAAACCTGGGTCTCTTGCACTGCAGGTGGATTTTTTACAGACTGAGCTACCAAGGAAGCCCTCACCTCTTCTATCTCCCAAAATGCCACTAAAATGACAATAGCAAAATTTCTTTAGTGCATTAACACTCAAAGGCCAGGAGAATGGCAGGGGATGTGAAAGCAGCCAAGAGATTTCAACAATTCTTTGGAAGATGGAAGGAGACAGAAGACTGATAATTAACTTAGCAAATTAAGGAAAACTGTAGCTTGAGGTAGATTCCAAAGAGGAAACCAGAGAAAGTCTGAGAGCAGCACTTGGGGGTACCATAGCCCCCCAAAGTTCTAAAAACAGGGACACTGGCTAAAGGTCTACCTACAGAGTGGTTGGCATGGACCACCTATGGCATTCCTGGGGGATTCCAGTTAAGTGAGAACACTGACGCATGTATACACACACAGAACACACGCTTATACACACACTCCACAGTAAGCTCCCAGCCGCTTTACTCAAGGGTACAGAAATTAAGTGGGATCTAGGTAGCTGGGGCATCTCTTGGCTCAGCTTCCTCTGGCCCCCAGTCAGTAACAGGTAGCAAGCAACTGGCAATGCCAACAAGGCTTGGTTTACCCAACCTGAGAAGCTCAAATCTGTGCAAAGCCATATTTCTTCCCAGGTGGCCGAGTGGTCAAGAATCTGCCTGCCAATGGAGAAAATGCAGGTTCAATTCCTGGGTCAGAAAGATCCTCTGGAGGAGGAAATGGCAACCCACTCCAGAATTCTTACCTGGAAAACTCCATGGACAGAAGAATCTGGCAGGTTCCATGGGATCACAAAGAGTTGGATATGACTGAGCATGTACACAGGCAT